GTTTTCGCATGCTATCATCGTCCTTCTGCAACTCCCCCTTCTCATCATGTACCGACTCAAACATCATGGTCACTCACAACCATTTATATCCTCTGTAGGTAAGAGTTGTGGCCAATAATGGCCTTCTCTTCCAGTCTGCTAACTCAGCCAACTTTTCTCTTTCTCCAACAATCAACGATTTTATCTGTTGTCGCAACTTTCTGCAGGCATTCATACAACGGAGCGATTGTCCACTTCTGGTGTGCTGGCTCGTCTGCTACACTGAAGATAGGGAGTCACAGAAGAACCAATCTGGCAACATCGAACAAAAACATACACACAAATGTCCAGATGTGAAGATAATTTTATTTTGGCTGTCACACACAAATGTATGTGTACATTTATGTCATAAATGTGCGATATTATTAACTTTAGTATATACTTATTGTGTCCTTTGTAATTTTCGCTATTATAAATATATATTTGAAAATAAATTGTTGAAAAGTGGTATGGGATGATATCTATTTATTAAAACGATCTAAAGGCAATTTTCAGTGGTAACTCCTTTATGAGCCTCCTTCATTAACCTCCTTCCTAAACCTCCTTCCTAAACCTCCTTCATTAATCTTCTTTATAAATCTTCTTTAAAAAACTTAATTAATTTGAAGAACAGGAAAGAAATTCACATGTCCGTTTTATTGCATTACTTTCAAGGCGAGGGAGGGAGACTCACTACTCTTAACAAGCATGTCGTCAAAGGCAACAGAATAAAGGTAGGCTGAAATCGGATGTGTAGGACCAACAGGCGCAGATATCGCAGCCTAGCTGTAAAGTCAATCATACCAACGAACGTAGACAGAAGAACAATTCATAGATATTGACCGGTATTCTGAGAAATAGATGAAAGAATTGAAGTTTGAAGAATAGACTAAATCAACTGACAATTATAGTGGCCACACAGCGATTAGAACGATCTAATCCTAAATCTACTAGACCAACAGCCAACAACTCTGATAACTTGGACATATTGTTGGCGGCAACTCGGCGCCTTCTTCTGTGCTTCAGGGGCCAGTGCGAACAACAGCCAATGGCGATAGGCATTTCAAGTCAGCAATGAAGCTTTTCCTCTCTATAGCACAAAGCCTGGTCAGTTCTGTAGAGACCGTATCTTACCCATGCCTCATGATGCATTCCTTAGGCCTGTATTCTTTACTGCAACGGAAAGGTAACGCCTAAACATTTGGAGCCAAACCTGCTACAGAAGCAGCGCCATCACGATAGCGGTGCTCTGTCTGCCCGTCGCAGCTTTCTTTCTTGGAGGAACCGACAACCAATTCTTCGACAAATAAGCTCCCACTTCACATGCTGAAACTACAATCAGCTAAACATGTCTGGTGGGCTATTATGTTATTCTTAAATCGCAAGACATAACAAAAGATTCTTCAGTCTATGTGACGATGCCTTATTAGTTCCATCAGAGCTGCCGTTACACAATGGATAAGGTTTTGCCTATACGTGTGACAAGTCATTCAGCTGAACTAATTAATATAGCAAAGAGACCAATCCTCGTTTCCTCTCTTCAGTTACCTCATTAAGTTTTTGGGCAATTGTCCAGATCGTCTATCTCCTCTTTCTAATGTGTTATTTCAGTCTTCACTTCTTTAGGTTTCTTGCTGCCGTCTTTCTATCCACGCTCTGTGTTCATCCCGTCCTGTCGACGAGCTGTCTGTAGTAATTGGTGGCAGCACAGCAAAGCAGCCACCAAACAAACACTCCGATAACAGACATCTCCGTTCCAAACTCACATGAACTTCCAGCAGGTAATCCCAACAGAGAACCCCCCCCCCCCCCCCCACCCCCCCCTCCAAGATAAGCCGATCTGTCCTCTCCTGCATGTCCACCGGCTCTAAACTCCAATGACAAATTGTGGTTTTTTGTTCACCGGCTCTAAACTCCAATGACAAATTGTGGTTTTTTGTTCACCGGCTCTAAACTCCAATGACAAATTGTGGTTTTTTGTCCACCTTTGAACTTGAGGCTTGCTGCAGAATTTAGGTGTTGTGTGCACATCCTTTTTATACATCAGGCTGTTTTGTATGCAACCTGTTGGTTCCTCACTTCTCAGACAGACTCACTGTGTCTTCGAACGAAGCCCTTAGTTTGTCGACTCTGAACACACGCTTGTTGGGGAGGCGGTGAGTCTATCCTTGCTTCCCTCCAGAATGGGTCAGAGACCCCACATGTAGGGATAAGCCCAGGGAAGCACAGCCTCGTACACAAGCTGACCAAACTAAGCCAGAAGAAGCAGACCGGCTGGCAATGAATGCACCAGTGCAGACGAGAACAAACATGGGCAGAGCTGTTGTCATCAACTGCTTGACCTGGGAGTAAAGCATGTTGAAGCACGTCTGTGTCGTCTTGGAGGTTACGACAAAAGGTCACTGTAACCAACCTCTTATGGGGAACAATCACAGAGGTACCTTGCAGTCGCTGCTGCATTAAAGGACCTAACAAGCGTAGAAATGCCCAATATGCAGTGACGCCAACTATGAAAACACAACATAACAGGAACAACAAATCATGCTGCTAAAAATTTTCAAATTACGCCCCTTGTCGTAACACTTCAACTACTTACAAATTACGCCCCTTGTCGAAACACTTCAACTACCTACAAATTACGCCCCTTGTCGTAACATTTCAATTACCTACAAATTACGCCCCTTGTCGTAACACTTCAACTACCTACAAATTACGCCCCTTGTCGTAACACTTCAACTACCTACAGCTTTTTATTGACAATAATACTGTATTCGAAATTATTTATTTATGCATTAATTACTTTATACCCCAACATGCTAGTCGTGTATTTCACCCCAACCTGCTAGTCGTGTATTTCAAAGGGGCAATTAAATCTATTCATCTTGCTGAAGATTTCACTTAAAGTTTATGTTACTGGGTACGGGTTAACGTGCGTGCATGTTGAAGAACCATGCTAGGGTTTGAAGAACCAGCGTGCTGAACAAACTATGCTAGGGTTTGAAGAACCAGCGTGCTGAACAAACTATGCTAGGGTTTGAAGTACCAGCGTGCTGAACAAACCTTGCTAGCGCTTGAAGAACCAGCGTGCTGAACAAACTATGCTAGGGTTTGAAGTACGTGCATGCTGAATAACAATGCTATTATTTTATTTTGGGTTGTCTTTTCCCAGAGAACAAGGGAAATCACAGACCATTGAAGGTCATGAACTATAAAATGATTAACCTGGGCTTTCATAACATGTGGATCCGCATCCCTTTAGAGAGCGACTGGCAGCTTTTCAAGAGCATCGTCTCCACAGTTCGAACGTTGACACCTAGAAAACATCCAGTAGGCAGAAATCTGACCTTCCGTATAACAAAGACGTGGAGAGGTATTGATTAGCACTCACAGATGTTGGGACAAAAAGTCGAGGTTGAGGGACACACTAGACAAGATAACAAGTGAATCTTTTTTTTCTTTTCTTGAGGAAATTGCGACCTATGACAAGGGCTAGCTGCCTACCGCATTCATTTCGAATTTAAAGATCAGTGAGGGTATCTGTTACATCAGTGAGGGTATCTGTTACATCAGTGAGGGTATCTGTTACATCAGTGAGGGTATCTGTTACATCAGTGAGGGTATCTGTTACATCAGTGAGGGTATCTGTTACATCAGTGAGGGTATCTGTTACATCAGTGAGGGTATCTGTTACATCAGTGAGGGTATCTGTTACATCAGTGAGGGTATCTGTTACATCAGTGAGGGTATCTGTTACATCAGTGAGGGTATCTGTTACATCAGTGAGGGTATCTGTTACATCAGTGAGGGTATCTGTTACATCAGTGAGGGTATCTGTTACATCAGTGAGGGATCTGTTACATCAGTGAGGGTATCTGTTACATCATCATCTGTTAGTGAGGGTATCTGTTACATCAGTGAGGGTATCTGTTACATCAGTGAGGGTATCTGTTACATCAGTGAGGGTTATCTGTTCTGTTACATCAGTGAGGGTATCTGTTACATCAGTGAGGGTACATCTGTGAGGGTATCACATCAGTGAGGGTATCTGTTACATCAGTGAGGGTATCTGTTACATCAGTGAGGGTATCTGTTACATCAGTGAGGGTATCTGTTACATCAGTGAGGGTATCTGTTACATCAGTGAGGGTATCTGTTACACATCATCTGTTACATCAGAGGGTATCTGTTACATCAGTGAGGGTATCTGTTACATCAGTGAGGGTATCTGTTACATCAGTGAGGGTATCTGTTACATCAGTGAGGGTATCTGTTACATCAGTGAGGGTATCTGTTACATCAGTGAGGGTATCTGTTACATCAGTGAGGGTATCTGTTACATCAGTGAGGGTATCTGTTACATCAGTGAGGGTATCTGTTACATCAGTGAGGGTATCAGTGAGGGTATCTGTTACATCAGTGAGGGTATCTGTTACATCAGTGACATCAGTGAGGGTATCTGTTACATCAGTGAGGGTATCTGTTACATCAGTGAGGGTATCTGTTACATCAGTGAGGGTATCTGTTACATCAGTGAGGGTATCTGTTACATCAGTGAGGGTATCTGTTACATCAGTGAGGGTATCTGTTACATCAGTGAGGGTATCTGTTACATCAGTGAGGGTATCTGTTACATCAGTGAGGGTATCTGTTACATCAGTGAGGGTATCTGTTACATCAGTGAGGGTATCTGTTACATCAGTGAGGGTATCTGTTACATCAGTGAGGGTATCTGTTACATCAGTGAGGGTATCTGTTACATCAGTGATGGTATCTGTTACATCAGTGAGGGTATCTGTTACATCAGTGAGGGTACATCAGTGAGGGTATCTGTTACATCAGTGAGGGTATCTGTTACATCAGTGAGGGTATCTGTTACATCAGTGAGGGTATCTGTTACATCAGTGAGGGTATCTGTTACATCAGTGAGGGTATCTGTTACATCAGTGAGGGTATCTGTTACATCAGTGAGGGTATCTGTTACATCAGTGATCTGTATCTGTTACATCAGTGAGGGTATCTGTTACATCAGTGAGGGTATCTGTTACATCAGTGAGGGTATCTGTTACATCAGTGAGGGTATCTGTTACATCAGTGAGGGTATCTGTTACATCAGTGAGGGTATCTGTTACATCAGTGAGGGTATCTGTTACATCAGTGAGGGTATCTGTTACATCAGTGAGGGTATCTGTTACATCAGTGAGGGTATCTGTTACATCAGTGAGGGTATCTGTTACATCAGTGAGGGTATCTGTTACATCAGTGATGGTATCTGTTACATCAGTGAGGGTATCTGTTACATCAGTGAGGGTATCTGTTACATCAGTGAGGGTATCTGTGAGGGTACTGTTACATCAGTGAGGGTATCTGTTACATCAGTGAGGGTATCGTGTACATCAGTGAGGGTATCTGTTACATCAGTGAGGGTATCTGTTACATCAGTGAGGGTATCTGTTACATCAGTGAGGGTATCTGTTACATCAGTGAGGTATCTGTTACATCAGTGAGGGTATCTGTTACATCAGTATTACATCAGTGAGTTATCTGTTACATCAGTGAGGGTATCTGTTACATCAGTGAGGGTATCTGTTACATCAGTGAGGGTATCTGTTACATCAGTGATGGTATCTGTACACATCAGTGAGGGTATCTGTTACATCAGTGAGGGTATCTGTTACATCAGTGAGGGTATCTGTTACATCAGTGAGGGTATCTGTTACATCAGTGAGGGTATCTGTTACATCAGTGAGGGTATCTGTTACATCAGTGAGGGTATCTGTTACATCAGTGAGTGAGTATCTGTTACATCAGTGAGGGTATCTGTTACATCAGTGAGGGATCTGGTATCAGTGAGGGTTACATCAGTGAGGGTATCTGTTACATCAGTGAGGGTATCTGTTACATCAGTGAGGTATCTGTTACATCAGTGAGGGTATCTGTTACATCAGTGAGGGTATCTGTTACATCAGTGAGGGTATCTGTTACATCAGTGAGGGTATCTGTTACATCAGTGAGGGTATCTGTTACATCAGTGAGGGTATCTGTTACATCAGTGAGGGTATCTGTTACATCAGTGAGGGTATCTGTTACATCAGTGAGGGTATCTGTTACATCAGTGAGGGTATCTGTTACATCAGTGATGGTATCTGTTACATCAGTGAGGGTATCTGTTACATCAGTGATGGTATCTGTTACATCAGTGAGGGTATCTGTTACATCAGTGAGGGTATCTGTTACATCAGTGAGGGTATCTGTTACATCAGTATCTGTTACATCAGTGAGGGTATCTGTTACATCAGTGAGGGTATCTGTTACATCAGTGAGGGTATCTGTTACATCAGTGATGGTATCTGTTACATCAGTGAGGGTATCTGTTACATCAGTGAGGGTATCTGTTACATCAGTGAGGGTATCTGTTACATCAGTGAGGGTATCTGTTACATCAGTGATGGTATCTGTTACATCAGTGAGGGTATCTATCTGTTACATCAGTGAGGGTATCTGTTACATCAGTGAGGGTATCTGTTACATCAGTGATGGTATCTGTTACATCAGTGAGGGTATCTGTTACATCAGTGAGGGTATCTGTTACATCAGTGAGGGTATCTGTTACATCAGTGAGGGTATCTGTTACATCAGTGAGGGTATCTGTTACATCAGTGAGGGTATCTGTTACATCAGTGAGGGTATCTGTTACATCAGTGAGGGTATCTGTTACATCAGTGAGGGTATCTGTTACATCAGTGATGGTGAGGGTATCTGTTACATCAGTGAGGGTATCTGTTACATCAGTGAGGGTATCTGTTACATCAGTGAGGGTATCTGTTACATCAGTGAGGGTATCTGTTACATCAGTGAGGGTATCTGTTACATCAGTGAGGGTATCTGTTACATCAGTGAGGGTATCTGTTACATCAGTGATGGTATCTGTTACATCAGTGAGGGTATCTGTTACATCAGTGAGGGTATCTGTTACATCAGTGAGGGTATCTGTTACATCAGTGATGGTATCTGTTACATCAGTGATGGTATCTGTTACATCAGTGAGGGTATCTGTTACATCAGTGAGGGTTTACATCATCTGTTACATCAGTGAGGGTATCTGTTACATCAGTGATGGTATCTGTTACATCAGTGAGGGTATCTGTTACATCAGTGAGGGTATCTGTTACATCAGTGAGGGTATCTGTTACATCAGTGAGGGTATCTGTTACATCAGTGAGGGTATCTGTTACATCAGTGAGGGTATCTGTTACATCAGTGAGGGTATCTGTTACATCAGTGAGGGTATATCTGTTACATCAGTGAGGGTATCTGTTACATCAGTGAGGGTATCTGTTACATCAGTGAGGGTATCTGTTACATCAGTGAGGGTACATCAGTGAGGGTATCTGTTACATCAGTGAGGGTATCTGTTACATCAGTGAGGGTATCTGTTACATCAGTGAGGGTATCTGTTACATCAGTGAGGGTATCTGTTACATCAGTGAGGGTATCTGTTACATCAGTGAGGGTATCTGTTACATCAGTGAGGGTATCTGTTACATCAGTGAGGGTATCTGTTACATCAGTGAGTGAGTATCTGTTACATCAGTGAGTATCTGTTACATATCTGTTACATCAGTGAGGGTATCTGTTACATCAGTGAGGGTATCTGTTACATCAGTGAGGGTATCTGTTACATCAGTGAGGGTATCTGTTACATCAGTGAGGGTATCTGTTACATCAGTGATGGTATCTGTTACATCTGTATACATCACATCAGTGAGGTATCTGTTACATCAGTGAGGGTATCTGTTACATCAGTGAGGGTATCTGTTACATCAGTGAGGGTATCTGTTACATCAGTGAGGGTATCTGTATCTGTTACATCAGTGAGGGTATCTGTTACATCAGTGAGGGTATCTGTTACATCAGTGAGGGTATCTGTTACATCAGTGAGGGTATCTGTTACATCAGTGAGGGTATCTGTTACATCAGTGAGGGTATCTGTTACATCAGTGAGGGTATCTGTTACATCAGTGAGGGTATCTGTTACATCAGTGAGGGTATCTGTTACATCAGTGAGGGTATCTGTTACATCAGTGAGGGTATCTGTTACATCAGTGAGGGTATCTGTTACATCAGTGAGGGTATCTGTTACATCAGTGAGGGTATCTGTTACATCAGTGAGGGTATCTGTTACATCAGTGAGGGTATCTGTTACATCAGTGAGGGTATCTGTTACATCAGTGAGGGTATCTGTTACATCAGTGATGGGTATCTGTTACATCAGTGAGGGTATCTGTTACATCAGTGAGGGTATCTGTTACATCAGTGAGGGTATCTGTTACATCAGTGAGGGTATCTGTTTACATCAGTGAGGGTATCTGTTACATCAGTGAGGGTATCTGTTACATCAGTGAGGGTATCTGTTACATCAGTGAGGGTATCTGTTACATCAGTGAGGGTATCTGTTACATCAGTGAGGGTATCTGTTACATCATCAGTGAGGGTATCTGTTACATCAGTGAGGGTATCTGTTACATCAGTGAGGGTATCTGTTACATCAGTGAGGGTATCTGTTACATCAGTGAGGGTATCTGTTACATCAGTGAGGGTATCTGTTACACATCAGTGAGGGTATCTGTTACATCAGTGGGGGTATCTGTTACATCAGTGAGGGTATCTGTGTTACATCAGTGAGGGTATCTGTTACATCAGTGAGGGTATCTGTTACATCAGTGAGGGTATCTGTTACATCAGTGAGGGTATCTGTTACATCAGTGAGGGTATCTGTTACATCAGTGAGGGTATCTGTTACATCAGTGAGGTATCTGTACATCAGTGTCTGTTACATCAGTGAGGGTATCTGTTACATCAGTGAGGGTATCTGTTACATCAGTGAGGGTATCTGTTACATCAGTGAGGGTATCTGTTACATCAGTGAGGGTATCTGTTACATCAGTGAGGGTATCTGTTACATCAGTGAGGGTATCTGTTACATCAGTGAGGGTATCTGTTACATCAGTGAGGGTATCTGTTACATCAGTGAGGGTATCTGTTACATCAGTGAGGGTATCTGTTACATCAGTGAGGGTATCTGTTACATCAGTGAGGGTATCTGTTACATCAGTGAGGGTATCTGTTACATCAGTGAGGGTATCTGTTACATCAGTGATGGTATCTGTTACATCAGTGAGGGTATCTGTTACATCAGTGAGGGTATCTGTTACATCAGTGAGGGTATCTGTTACATCAGTGATGGGTATCTGTTCTGTTACATCAGTGAGGGTATCAGTGAGGGTATACATCAGTGAGGGTATCTGTTACATCAGTGAGGGTTATCAGTGAGGTATCTGTTACATCAGTGAGGGTATCTGTTACATCAGTGAGGGTATCTGTTACATCAGTGAGGGTATCTGTTACATCAGTGAGGGTATCTGTTACATCAGTGAGGGTATCTGTTACATCAGTGAGGGTATCTGTTACATCAGTGAGGGTATCTGTTACATCAGTGAGGGTATCTGTTACATCATCAGTGAGGGTATCTGTTACATCAGTGAGGGTATCTGTTACATCAGTGGTATCTGTTACATCAGTGTATCTGTTACATCAGTGAGGGTATCTGTTACATCAGTGAGGGTACTGTTACATCAGTGAGGGTATCTGTTACATCAGTGAGGGTATCTGTATACATCAGTGAGGGTATCTGTTACATCAGTGAGGGTATCTGTTACATCAGTGAGGGTATCTGTTACATCAGTGATGGTATCTGTTACATCAGTGAGGGTATCTGTTACATCAGTGAGGGTATCTGTTACATCAGTGACGGTATCTGTTACATCAGTGATGGTATCTGTTACATCAGTGATGGTATCTGTTACATCAGTGATGGTATCTGTTACATCAGTGAGGGTATCTGTTACATCAGTGATGGTATCTGTTACATCAGTGTTACTGTTATCAGTGATGGTATCTGTTACATCAGTGATGGTATCTGTTACATCAGTGATGTTACATCAGTGATGGTATGGTATCTGTTACATCAGTGATGGTATCTGTTACATCAGTGATGGTATCTGTTACATCAGTGAGGGTATCTGTTACATCAGTGATGGTATCTGTTACATCAGTGATGGTATCTGTTACATCAGTGATGGTATCTGTTACATCAGTGAGGGTATCTGTTACATCAGTGATGGTATCTGTTACATCAGTGATGGTATCTGTTACATCAGTGATGGTATCTGTTACATCAGTGATGGTATCTGTTACATCAGCGAGATGGTATCTGTTACATCTATCAGTGTTACATCAGTGATGGTATCTGTTACATCAGTGATGGTATCTGTTACATCAGTGATGGTATCTGTTACATCAGTAATGGTATCTGTTACATCAGTGATGGTATCTGTTGCATCAGTGATGGTATCTGTTACATCAGTGATGGTATCTGTTACATCAGTAATGGAATCTGTTACATCAGTGATGGTATCTGTTACATCAGTGATGGTATCTGTTACATCAGTAATGGTATCTGTTACATCAGTGATTGTATCTGTTACATCAGGGATGTTATCTGTTACATCAGTGATGGTATCTGTTACATCAGTGATGGCATATGTTACATAAAATAACTGTTTTCATATGTCCGATGAGGACTGCGTCGTTCGTTTGTCGATGTTTCCATTACATTCTTTGCATTCTTCTGAAAAACCAGTCTAAGTTTGGAAACTTGGCTAGATATCCATGTAGGAAAAAAACTTGACACGTTGCCAAGGCGACCAGAAACAGCAGAAGTAAATTGGAACAGGCTGTCAAGGCAAGTGAGATATCCGCTGCCATAGTTGACCCGAGTCCATCCATCACTAGGTTGTCTCCCACACCCACCTCACCACGTCACGCTAGCTAGTCTCCCACACACACCTCACCACGTCACGCTAGCCTACATCCCAGCAGGAGGTAAAGTGTGACCATGTTTACCTTCTTTGCATAACTCAGTGACGTGCGACAGGAAAACATGTTGTCGCTGTTCCGCCTAATCTGAAGAATTGGTTTGTTGTTTGTGGTGGTTCTCCTGCTCTGATGTTAATTGACGGGTGGGTACAGATACAATCAGACCTGTTTACGTCTCACACTGACAAGGTTACCAAAGAAAAACAATTTTCTTCACGCAAAACAGCAGACGTGGTTGTCATAAATAGCGCAGTTGGTGCTGGAAACTGCATCACTTCTTCAAACTTCATGTAAGAGATTTTCTCCAGTAAAACAAACATTGACCACTTATTCAGGTATGTATCTGTACTTATGTTTTTTTAAGAGACTCGCTATTTAGGACGAGATAGCTTTACGAGAAGCAATATCTCCCCGAGAATCACATGATGATGATGTTAGTCTGCATCCATGACAAGAACAGCAACAGAAAAGAGGTAATGCCAGACAAGAGTACTTTGAGAAAGCTAAAGAAAAATAAGAAGCCAGCACAGACCTACTGCTGTGAGCCGCTACAGGATACTGGCTTGACTGAGAATGGGATTCACACAACCGGAGCTGTGAGCCGCTACACGATACTGGCTTGACTGAGAATGGGATCCCATTAGTTGTGAACTGAACGGGTAAATGTGGAATGAGGATGATCCGTCAACCAACTATAGGACCAGTGACCGTGTCACATAGGACCATTCACCGTGTCATATAGAACAGTAACCATGTCACATAGAACAGTAACTGTGTCACATAGAACAGTAACTGTGTCACATAGAACAGTAACTATGTCACATAGAACAGTAACTGTGTCACATAGAACAGTAACTGTGTCACATAGAACAGTAACTGTGTCACATAGAACAGTAACTGTGTCACATAGAACAGTAACTATGTCATATAGAACAGTAACTATGTCATATAGAACAGTAACTATGTCATATAGAACAGTAACCATGTCACATAAAACAGTAACCATGTCACATAGAACAGTAACTGTGTCACATAGAACAGTAACTATGTCATATAGAACAGTAACCATGTCACATAGAACAGTAACTGTGTCACATAGAACAGTAACTGTGTCACATAGAACAGTAACTATGTCACATAGAACAGTAACTATGTCACATAGAACAGTAACCATGTAACCGTGTCACATAGAACAGTAACATAGAACAGTAACCGTGTCACATAGAAGAACAGTAACTATGTCACATAGAACAGTAACTATGTCACATAGAACAGTAACCGTGTCACATAGAACAGTAACCATGTCACATAGAACAGTAACCTTGTCACATAGAACAGTAACCATGTCACATAGAACAGTAACTGTGTCACATAGAACAGAAACTGTGTCAGTAACCGTGTCACATAGAACAGTAACTGTGTCACATAGAACAGTAACTGTGTCACATAGAACAGAACAGTAACTGTGTCAACATAGAAACAGTAACTGTGTCACATAGAACAGTAACTGTGTCACATAGAACAGTAACTGTGTCACATAGAACAGT